TAGAAAACTCATCAATAATTGTATGTAAGGTTGTTTTACTTAAACCTTTGTCTTTGATCTTAGTTGGATATTTAGAAGACATTGTAAATTTTCCCTGGGTAAGACTTGAAAAATAAACATTTTTCAAATGTTAAGAATTTACCATTTGTGACCATTATCTGTAAATTTTGATATTGAAAGAATTATATTTCATAAATTATTCACAGATTGAATTTAAAAGACCTTTTTATGTTCTCCCATTAAATTGATGTTTCAGTGATATGGATCTAGGGCCCATGGCCACAAACCCATATGTTGGTAGCCAGTTGAACGACCCAAAAGGAGGAAGACTCAGTTGATAGATTGAGTGAAAGTCACTCTCACCACTTAGCTTAATTACAAGGGGAAGACCAGGTCTTTGTTCTGATTCAATAAAGAAGCTAGTGCTTCTATTAGGTCCACGATTTTATTTTCAACATGCATATGTTCTTTAATTCTAGAAGTTAGTTTATTTTTGTTCTATAAATTGTACTTGAAGTGGTCAAATCAGATATTCAGAAAATTGCCCCAAACTGTCTTTTTCCTATGTCTTTCACTTCTTAAAGTTTAACCGATTAACGAGTCTTATCATTTTGGTGCTTTCATCGTTTTCATCCTGAAACATAGCTCCTAAACCTGACTCACCCCTTCCTTTTTCACTATCGACAACCCACCTTCTGTCCTACCATCCCTCAAAGCTCATGGCAACCATGGTCAAGAAAATATTCCACCTTATCACCTCCTCCACCACCAACCAATCATAATTTAACATTATTATAAAACAATTGACAATATAATATGAGCAAACCAACTCACTCTTCGCCACCCTCATCAAACTCACATAAAAACCATGTTCTTCATCTACCATTTTCAAATAAGAATGTAAAACTCTTACCACCGAAAACCAACCCCGCCCACCAAAAAGCTCACTTCCCAATTTTGACGATAGCAACACACCAGATTGCCTATTCTAGGACAACAGTTACTTTTAATACTATGCTAATCCACATGATCAATGCCTCATAATATTGGTTTTGTATTTCACAGAAGATGCACTATTTTGGTATAAATATCAGGGCACCAAGGACTTACTCAGCAATTGGAATGAGTTTTCTAGGGCTCTCGAGCTCCGCTTCGAACCTTCCACTGACGAGAATCACCATGAGGATCTCTTCAAATTGCACCAAACACGAACAGTTTCCACTTATCAATATGACTTTGTTAAATTAAGAAATTATATGACTAGCGTCGACAACGAAGCCCTCCTTAATTGTTTTCTATCAGGTCTCTATCATGATATCCAAAACAAGTTATCTCTCCACCATCCCACCTCCCTTAACCAAGCATACGACTCGTGAAACTAGTTGAGGATAAACTCACCATATCCAAGCCACAATACACGTATACCCGTTCATATAATAGCACCACCTCTCTGCCTATATCCCAAACCACGACCGACTCATCACCACCACCCACTATTGCCATCCTACAACCACCACCCACTATTGCCATCCTACAACCACCACCTTCAAGATTATTGGTGACACCACCAACCCCGAAAACAACCCGACCACTCACTCGTCTCTCTTTAGATGCCCTACAAAACGATGAATGGAGGGCATGTGTTTCAAATGCCCATAACCTTACTCACCCGGCCATAAATGCAACCCTCCTTAATTTTTCCTCATTGTTGACTATGACAACCAGGAAATCGACGGATCGGATGTGACCTCAGGGACATCGACGTGCCCCAACCCGATCATAAGTTCTTTTCATATTTCACTGCCACGATTTTTGGATTGGCCTCACCTCAAGCATTACGTGTCACAGGATACCTCCAAAATCAACCCGTCTAAATTTCGATTGATTGTGGAAGCACACATAATATAGTTTAGACCCGCCTTGTATCCTTCTTCACAATTTCCTTGACCAAAATACCTGAATTTCCTGTCATGGTGGGTAATGGCGATAATATTTAAGTGCACCGATGTTTTTCCAGATCATCTCATCTATCTTGATAATACACCATTCATAATCCCATTCTTTGTTACTAGAAGGCACAATTCTCATACTAGGGCTTGCCTTGGTTCACATACTAGACCCATCCTAGTAGACTTTGATACATTAATGCTCCCCTAAAGGAGGAGGGTCGTTGAGGTCATACGAGATGTATTAAGCCATAAGGGTGTAGACCTCTCTGATACCATGTAAGATTCAAGTGAAGTCTAATATCTCTCAAAAATAAGTCTTGTAGAGAGAATAGAGACTCCAGTATATATAGAGACATAGGAGGATAAAGATTATGGATTCTTTGTTAGAGGGTTTGTCGATAAAGGATTTCCCACTAGGGTTGAGCAATTAACATGGTGTAACACTTGAATTTGGTATGTTCATATTTAACCCTTCTTATTTAAAAAGCATTCCAATTTTGGTCCTTTTGGCTAGTACGCTGGGCGTACATGGGTTATGTTGAGCGTACGCTGGCTAGGGGCAAACCCTAACTTTTAGGGTTTGAGCCCTATTTAAGCAACATTAAACCACCTCTTGGACATTTTAGACCAACCGCCACATCCTCAAATCCTAATTTCATCCCTTAGCCTTTGTGTGGTGCTTTTGAGCTCTTGTGAAGCATTTTTTGGGTGTGTTTGTGCTTTTTGAATGGGAAGGAGAAGATTGAAAACTGATCCTTTGGAGTGGAGCTTAGATATCCAGCTTTAGCACCTCCATTTTGTGGTTTTTGACGTATAAAGTTCAAAGCTTGTCAACTCATTTCATAGATCTATTCCTTGGCTTGTTTTGGCTATTTTGGTCCCTTTTGGTTGGTTCTTGTCAGCTAAGGTCGTTTATGGAGTTTAGCCTTTTAGATTTGGACATATTAAGGGTTCCTTTAGCATAAAGATGCAAACTTTATGGTGCTTTTGGACTCACGCATGTATTAAGTCATTTGTTAAGCTCATTTGAGCTCTAGAGCCCCATTAAGCCATGCATGCATGTAAAGTTGCCAACTTCGCGTGATAAACCACCTTAAGAAAGTCAGATTTGAGTGTTGGGTTGAAGTCTTAATTGATTAAGAGGTGAATGTTGGAAATTGACCATGTTGGGGAGTACGCTGGGCGTATAAGCTGGTATGTTGCGCGTACAAGCCCCAAAGCGAGTACACTAAGCGTACGAGCTGAGTACGCCTTGTGTTCGAGCTGAGTACACCCTGTGTACTCAATAGTGGGCTTCAAAATTGTGGGATTCTCGGTTTTGGGCCCTTGTTGGACCTTAGTAGTCTTGCATCTTATTGGGCCACCAAAATTCTGTTTTGGGCTGAGTCTATTTTATTGGACTCTTTTGTTGAAGGCCCATGAAGGGATTTAGGCATAATTTTGAAAATTGGGCCATATTTGTGCTTGGGTGATTATTTTGGAATTTGAGCTTTTGGATAGTTGGATTGGGCCATATTCATAGCGCACGGATTTTAGCCGGGCCAGCAGTCAGAGATGTATCTATGAGATTCAGCAGTCTGAGGTGAGTTTCCTCATTGTGTTTAGCGAGTCTAAGGCATCAATGTCGGCCCATGATTATTATGATAGGATGCTAGATGTCCGTGTGACTCTTGCATGTGTTATGTGCTGGTATGTATACCGAGCGAGGTTCGATGTTGGGCATGGCTCGATGACTGTATTGTATGCTATTATCTTGTGATTATCGCATGTGTTATCATGATTATATGTTATATGTTTATTATATGTACCGGGTGGGGCCTAATGAAAGACAGATCTGTAATCTGAGCGGGGGTCGATGTCGGGTGGGGCCGAGGTAGAGTGGGACTCGATGCCGGGCGAGGCCCGATGTGGGGCGGGGGCCCAGTATGTGTTTATTTATGTATGATATGTGGTATTTTGGGGAACTCACTAAGCTTTGGGCTAACGGTTTTCAGTTTATGTTTCAGGTACTTCATGATCGAAAAGGAAAAGCCCGAGATAATTGCGGAGCATACACCACCTTTTTCCGCATTTTGAGATTTACTTTGATATGATATGATGTAGTGACATACTTTGGTCTTTTGAGTTGTATGAAAATGTTTGGATTACTGTTTTCATAAAATTGAAAGTGAAAATTTTGGGTCTTATTTTTTAGACGTTAGAGATGAGATGGAAGTAGTTTTTACTTAGGTGAGAGACCGATTCAGATCACTTCTGATCTTTGGCATATTCTGATTGTCCTAAAATTAGGCAACCAAGGACTCATAAATAGGTTTCGTAGTTTGTTTGTTTGCATGGAGGTTGCTTTTAGATATAATGTGTATATAGTGTGATTTGTCTAGAGATAAATCTCATATATCATAAGCAAAAGAAGAGTTATCTATATAGGGATGGACATTTGACCCGGTGGAACTGAGTCGGACTTGAAAAAAAAATCTGAATCGGCCCCGGACCGGAACGAAATTACATATTATCTGGGCAGTTCCTGGTTCCAAGATATCCACTTCTTCGGTTTTGGAGTATTCGGTTCGTGGGTTTGGAATCGGAAACCGGTTCTGAAAAAAAAACATTCCATGGGCTAAACCTTGTTCTGCAACCGGAACTTGTGGCCCTTAACCAGTCCTATATTTTTGTGCATTTGGGCTCTCGGGTATTCGGTTCCCCATTAACCATGTAGATCACATCTAATCAATGATTATTCTAGATTGTCCTAAAATGGGCAACCAAGAACTCAGAAATAGGTTTAGTTGTTTCTTTGTCAGCATGTAGCTTGCTTTTAGATAAAATTAATGGTGCGATTTCTATAGAGTTAAATCTCATATATCATACGTATATTATATACCCCACAAGCCACAACAACGTAAAAAACTATAAGAGATATTTATGTATGTATGTGTACATATTGGGATATTCTTCAACTGACTATGGACCCTTTGCAACGAATGGAGTACATATCAAATTGTTGAATGCGATAAATCTCTCTTCACAATGTTCTTAAATTCCCTAGTACCCTTAACCCTAGTTTATATTCAAATTATGTGTCAAGGGTCAAACCCTGCAGCCTCCCTAATCATCGATGATTCCCAAAATACTAAGCATTGTCAGAAACAGTTGTACCATGTCGATATAAAGCATGGTTGCAGCAAGGATATATTCATCATAGCTGCAGCGTTTAATCAGATTATCTGTATCGTATATGATGAATCCACAGTATAGAAGTGCCACCACAAAAGAGATTATCATCCTCACCAAGCTTCCCATCGGGAAAAAGATCTGTTTGAAATAGATAACAAATAACCAGATCGTTATGTGTGAAAAGTTGTTCTGTAAAAAAAAGACTAAGAAAGAAGCAAAGGCAAGTTGAACTAGGATATGCTCTTTTTTAAAGTGTAGTATATCATATACCTGAATTATGCTGAAAATTAAAACCAAAATAAGTGTGCAGAACAAAAATGGCCACAGGAAGTTGAAATCGTATCCTCGTTTAGCTGCCCAGAAAGTGAAGAGGGTGAGGCTGACCACCATCACAGAGGTTAGAAGACTGGCCTCCATTATGATTTTCCCTGTAAAAAATATGATACAATTTAAGTAATGAATTAACCTTTCCTTGAAAGTTCTATTCAATGAAGACCAAAACTGAATCAAACCGAAAAGACATTGAAATATCTTCATTACCTTTCGAAAACACACAAGAAACCCCAACCATAACAGAAAACATCACAGTAAACAAGCCCAACATGATGATATTGTGAGGGTGACGATTCATAAAGAGTTGCATCACTAAGAGAACTGTAAGAAAAAAAAACAAATAAACAGAAGAGTCGACGCATAGGGCTATTATGTACATGCAGTATGACTTCTTCATCGAAAACAAAGAAAGAGATGAGATTTGCGAGTTGCTTACCTATGATCGTAATAATGGCAATGATGAGGTATACGATTAGACCCGTTTGGGTACGGAAAAACTGGTTGATTCGCGGGGTTAGAACAACTATACTAGCAATGAGAACTGTTAAAAGCAATTGTAACGTCAAGATTGAATAAACTTTCCGAATGAAACCCCAACGTAGCTGAGGATCTTCCATTTGTGATGGATAATGCTTCCCAGCTTCGATATCATGATCCTTCCCCATGATTATATTAATTTCTTGACTATAGTTTGTGTTTCAATCTATAATATGTCTGTATTTACATATATGATGATAAAGCTTCCGGTTAATAGAAATGAAAATATAATTTATCGAATAACCACTGTGATTGATGAATATATTTCTACGTTTTGATCACAAGATCAACCACTGGAGGCAGAGATAAATATATTTTCTCTATCAAGTAAAACAGACAAAATGGGTTTTTATGTTCTTGTTTTTCAAGATTAAAAGGGTGTTCTTTGATTTGTATGGGCCTAAATATAGGATTTACTGTTAGAGCAGTTAACTTATCATCCTGAAATCACTCTTAACCATTAAAGATTTATCAGGTAATGTCCGTTGAAATATTTCCATATATGGTTCAATGATTGGAGCAAAATTTTCGACCTTGAAAGCAATCATTGCATTTGGCAACACTAGAAGGAAGAAAATATGTAGGAGTGGGAGATATTCTCCATATATAAGTGAAAAAGAAACATCAAATTATGGGTTTATAATTGCAACATTTTTTTTTTGGAACAGCTATGATTATAAATGTAACATGTTATGTTAAATTTGATTTCAATATTTACATTATGGTGATGCTAAACGAGGGTACACGGCCAACTCACCCCAAGCTAATTATCTTATTGTGAATCATAGTTGTCTATGCGAGATATGATTAGATACCTAATGATCATTTCTGTAGCCACTTTTCTCAATCATTATAACTCATGATTATGGAATATTTAAATGTTCATAATAGATGAAACCAATAATTTAGAGAGGAATTAACAGGCACCAGGGCCCAGTCAATACAGCCCATAGAAAGCTTGGCCCGGTTTTTTAACTTGAAAACAGTCCCTTTAAAGCTCGTGGGCTTTGCCTTGCCACCCCTAAAAGACGAAAGCTATTTGGACTCTCGTTTTATCCGTTTCGTATGTTTAAGTGACATTCTAGCTATTTAAAGGCATCACGATAACATTTACAAGTTGTTTCGCATTTATTCGTATTAAAACAAAACACTGTAGAATACAAGTACAAAAATAAAAGGAAAAACTAACACAAATACATACTACTTTTTAAGGAGATCTAATTTAATTTTTGACGATAATGACGTCATTATCTTGTTGGGGATGTCTTGGTGGCATGACATAATAAGACCAAATTGTCATGAGACCAATATAGTTGACCAAAGTTTTTCCAATGCACCTTTCTGCGTACCAAAAGACATCTCAGACAAGTTAAAAGTTTACCAAGTTTGGGACACTCATTGGATTAGCAAAACCGTCACAACAATATCTTCGAGGTCAATGCCATTCTTTTAAAACATAAGAGAGTAAAGATCATTATTTTTAAGTATATAACCACTTATTTATACTATCTTGTGATGGGTAAAATGATCTAAGAGTCTCAAAGTATCCATTCTAACACCCATATGCCTCAGCTTTTTTTGAATTCGCACAACTCCCACCTAACTCCACCTGTATGATTTCATTCAACTGGTACCGAACATCATGAGGCCCAAACCTAAGGGGGTGTAGGGTGTGCGACCACATATAAATAATGTCCAAATTTTAACCAAATTATATAGCTAATATGTTAGTATATATCATTTTATTCAAATATGTACATAAAAATTGTCTAGTTCAACTGGCCGAAGCGTCTGGCCATTTGCAAAGGCACTTGTATCTGAATTTCGTTTCAAAAAATATATCAAACTAAAAACGGTTATCTAGATACATGTTAAACCTATAACAGCTTTCACAACAAAGCTCCATTAAGTCATTTACTCTCCTTATTAAATAAAAAACTTAACTTTCTCCTTCACTTTCAAAATGTCTTGTAATGATCAAAATCATCAATAAACTTAAACGACCTTCAAAATTGTCAAACTTCTGCACTGAGTCCGATTATTGTTTAATTCTCAATGTCAATGAGAAGGTTGTGCATGCCCAAGAAGGAGATGCTGGAAAGTTGCCTTAGAAGGCCCCAGAATCAACATACGAAGAAAACATTTCCTGCAACAAATTGAAGAGAATAATGAATGTATAAAAACACACCGGAATGAAAAGTTAGAATAATGGATAAGAATCACAAATTTACATTTATGTAGAACATCACAATCAAGTAGCATTCGCGTGTAGATTCTTGAAAGACTTGATTAGATTGATGGACAAAATTATAAATTTCATACAAATTTAATTATTATTAGTTAAAAGAACTAAGACCCAATAAGTTTTATGTATGGATTTTATATAATGATCCCTTCAATTAATAAAATATAAGTGCGCGCTACTAGAAACGGCTAATCTAATACGGTTGAAAGTATAAATATAATACAGATGTAGAACCGTATTAATAAAGGGGTGCATTAGATTCCATTTCCTAATAAAGTACAACTATTTAACCGTACTCTGTATGATTCTATCAATACCTTCCAAACAATCATCTAATAGACAATACAACCCATCTAATACATCCCACACAACCGTACTTGATTATCCTCAATACCATTCCTTTCCAAACATTCTAGATTGGAGCCATTCCATATTGCATTCCATTACAGCCGTTGGCAGATCTAGGATCAAAGTAAAGGGGCATCCCTGACAATATATATATATATATATATATATATATATATATATATATATATATATATATATATATATATATCATGGTTGTAAAAATCGGTCTAGGCGGCCGATTAATCGGCGCCTAGGCGCTTGGCGGCCTCCAACCGCTTACGAATAAGGGTTAGAGGGTAAAATAATCGGCATTGGTCAATATCGGTCAAAACCGGTCCAATTCGGTCCAAATCGGACTAAATCGGATCCAAAATCGGACCCAAAAATGGGGCTCAAAGGACCCACCGACTCAAAGGAGACAGCTGGCCCAAAGGAGAGTTGGATATGGATTTCAATAAGCCTTCTACCCTTTTTATAAAATTGTTTGCCCTTGATATTTTATCCCACCAACGATGTGTGATACTCAATTTTAAAAAACACAGGAACACATAAAGATAAATTAATTTGTTTCCTTTTTCTTCAATCTCGACTCCGATCAGGTGATACTCGAAGACAACTCGATCAGCTAATACTCGAAGACATACACAGGTGGAAACAATCAAGAACCATGGATTGAAAACAGATACTCGTTCTGAAGAGGCTTTTCGATTGGAAATTCCCTAGCGTATCTCTCTTCTGCTTCGCAGAAGAACAGATGTGAAATTACAAAGACCATATACGTGAGGATTACATGGCATCGGAGTTAGAGCACTAGTTCGTTCTCATTACAGGTTATCACACCCATCAACCATCTTCGTGTACCCTATCACCATCACTCGTTTGTTCCTTCTTCCTTTTTTTGAAATCGAGATTCTGTTTGGCAGTTGCAAGATCTGTAATAGTTCTGGTGGGAACGAATTGCTTATTTATTTGATTAATCTGATTCGTTTTCTTGTTTATGGATGGAATCACTTTCGATTCAAATTGCTGATTTGTTTGATTAATCTGATTAGTGTTCTTGTTCTTGGTAAAATTGATTCTCTCTCGACTCAAATTGGTAAAATCAGCGTAATTGTTGTTTGATCACTGGATTGAAGGCAAACCCATAAACTCGATTCGCTATTAAAACAGATTTTAGACAAGCCCATAAACTCGATTAAAGGCAGATTTAAGTTGATACTATGTTTGTGTAAATGGTTGTTCGATCACTAGGAATCACAATTTCAGTGATTTTGGTCATACAATGCTTAAGAGAAATTTTAATGATATGGTTGATAATAACAAGCATGCCAAGTGTTTGTGTAAATGCTTAAGAGAAATTTCATGTTATAATGTTATATTTATTAAAATTTTAATAAGTTTTTTTTAATTTATAATGTTATATCTATTAATGTTATATTTAATGTTATAGTCTTAGGATTAATGTTATATTTATTAATTTTTTAATAATTAATGGTCCCCGATTAATCCCCGCCTAGCCGATTATTCCTTGACCCCAGTCCACCGATTAGCCTACGTGGAGTGATTTCTACAACCTTGATATATATATATATATATATATATATATATATATATATATATATATATATATATATATATCTATATATATATATATATATATGTGTGTGTGTGTGTGTGTGTGTAATACACAATAAGAAAAAAAATCCGGAAAAAATTACACTACTAAAGTTTTTTTGAGGGGTATTCCGGGCTACCCCAGGATATAAACTAAATTTGCCACTGATTCTAGCTATTCTTAATTGCATTCCAACCCATTTATGATTACATTTCATCTTATTATATGACTCCATAACAGCCACCACCAATAGGACCCTGAAAATTGCAAACTTCCATTAATAAACACAATATATAGCTAGCATACATAAACAAAACAAATTAAACATATTAAAATGCCAATAAAATGAAGGTTTTTCAATATGAATGAAATGAAAACTTCTTTTAAATGTAAATCTTCTCCACATAAGAAAACAATAGATGGAAAAATGGACAAAAAATGTTGAGTATTTGAGATTTTTCTAATGTTTTTTCCTTTTTGGTCCTTGTTCCAAGTAAAGTGACAATATTTGATCCAAAAGTATAGCCGATTTTTGCAATTTTGATCCAAAAAATAGTTATTTTACTTAGGATGGGAATAAAAACATTGCAAAAATCTCAAACGAGGAAAAAAATTGCATAAGAGAACTTTATGGGACCAAAATTAAAATAAATAAATAAATAAATAAAAAGTTCTACTCATGGACTAAAAATGTAATTTACTCTAAAAAGAACATTCTACAATATAGTTCCTCTCAACTGCTTTCGGCTGTATTGTGTTACTCAGGTCAACTAAAAAAAGACGATACAACATCCGGAGATGAAGCCATATTTAAATTCAAAGCATAGTCAGCATCTGATATATATACCCCATTATCTGCATGCATAAATAAAAGGGAAAATTAAAAGCATTTAATAGACATATTAAATATACATATAAAAAAAACTATCCTTAAAAACATAAGTAACAATAACAACCTGAGAAATTTTATGACACACAACAGTTAGGTTATCAAGAACTTCAAGATTTTAACGTGGTACGAAATTACTTTTAATATATGTCATTTTCCTTACCTGAATGAAAAATAAACATAAAAATGGAATACAAAACATAGAAATAATCAACCATGAAATTTTAATTTGAAAATACAAAGTAGTAATATTGAACCTCATCATCGCATGC